TTTCCCCCCCGCCCCCCCCCCTTCCCCCCCCCCCCCCAACCAAGTCCCCCTCCCTCGTCAGCCCAAAGAGCAATCAGGGTTCCCTGCCCTGTGGGAAGTCCAAGGACCACCCACCTCCATCCAGGTCTAGTAAGGTGAGCATCCAAACTGCCTAGGCTCCCACAAAGCCAATACGTGCAGTAGGATCAAAAACCCATTGCCATTGTTCTTGAGGTCTCAGTAGTCCTCATTGTCCGCTATGTTCAGCGAGACCAATTTTATCCCGGACTTTTTCAGACCCAGGCCAGCTGGCCTTGGTGAGTTCCCAATAGTGTGGATCTGAGATTAAAGGTGTGTGTCACCACTGTCTGATCTGTAAGGTTGACCAGGGTGGCTGTTCTACTTTCTGAACTTCGGGCAAGCTTTATTTATTAAAATACAAATGAAATATCACTATGGGTGACGTTGGAAAACTATACATATTATTTCAATTTCCCTAACCCTGCTGTCTATTCTGAGTCTTAGGACATATGTTCCATGGAAGAAATTAAACTTTTTTTTACAGCTTAAAAGTAAAAGTTTTATCAGAATACAAAAAGCAGAGTGGCAGCAGCAATTGGAAAGTGCAGGTGGCAGCTCTAAGAAGGCTCCCACAAGCTTCCCTGTGCTAGGCAATGCATTCGGCAACTTGAGCTGTTCTGATTCCTGATGAATGGGTCATTTTCCTTGTTTATTTAACTGAGTATACAGAGCAACGAGTTTCATTACAGTACTGACTTTCTTTCATCTTTTCTTCTTGGGTCTCCCTGTGTATCCCAGCTTGGCCTGGGACACGAGGTAATCTTCTGCCTCAGTCTCCCAGAGCTGTGCCATCCTCCCCAGTTCATTAAGGTATTTTCAAACATAGGGCACTATATTGTCTTCCTACTTTGCTCATCCTTCATGTCCCCTTTAAAAAACAGTAAGTTGTGCTGGAGAGATGGCTCAGTGGTTAAGAGCATTGCCTGCTCTTCCAGAGGTCCTGAGTTCAATTCCCGGCAACCACATGGTAGCTCACAACCATCTGTAATGAGGTCTGGTGCCCTCTTCTGGCCTGCAGATGTACACACAGACAGAATATTGTATGCATAATAAATAAATATTAAAAAAAATAAAAACCAGTAAGTTAAATCTTTGAAACAATATTAATAATAAAACAACAAAGTGGTATTGCCAGTTCTGCTCACACTATTTCTTCATTTGCAGCCGTTCTCCAGATTCACAAAGCACTATCAATGGTCTTCTGCCTGTCCACTCCAGTGCCCTGTCCAAGCCCAGATTTGGAGTTCCATGGGATCAGAGACCTATTCATTTCTTTTTAAATATTATTTTTAATCATTTTACATACCAATCACAGTTTCCCCTCCCTCCCTTCATCCTCCTTTCCCCACCTCCCCCCAGCCCACCACCATCCACTCCTCAGAAAGGTAAGGCCTCCCATGGGGAATCAACAAAGCCTGGGAGTGCAAGGAAAGAGATATCTCAATAGAGAAACCTATTCATTTCCTCCACAAAAGACAACACAGATTCCAGCAAACAGTGGGGATGCTTCTATAGATACTTCAGGAATGAATGACTGTACAACAAATTGCAGCCTGCCGCTGCTATTATCTAGCTGCATAACTGCTATTCAACTTATACAGCCTCCTATAAGCTCACCTGTAGAATAGGTTTTGACTGGCTCACTATACTTTTCTTTACATACTGCAAAGAGAAAATTGAAGAGGTACTGACTTATAATTTAAATATCCAATTATAAGTAGATTTCGTTTTGTTTTGCTTTTTGAAACACAGTTTCTCTAAGTAACCCTGGCTGTCCTGAAACTGCTCTGTAGACCAGCCTGGCCTCAAACTCAGAGATCACCTGCCTCTGCCTCTTGAATGCTGGGATTAAAGACAACAACACCTTGCTTATAAGTGCATTTTTAAAAAGCTATGGTGGGTGTTGGCATGATGGCTCACTGGTTAGGAGCACTTGGTGCTCTTCCACAGGATCTAAGTTCAGTTCTCAGAACCCACAATAGGAGGTTCATAACTACCTGAAACTCCCCCTGCAAGAATTCAATGCCTCTTCTTGCTTCCACAAGCATTGGACACTTAGTACATACATACACATGTGCACACATGCATGTGTGCACACACCAAAAAAAAATCTTAAAAGTTATAGTGCTTAGGTCATAAGCCACTAACTTGATGAGACCTTAATTTAAAAATCAGCATATATAAACAAATGAAAATGTTAGATGGAAAAGTACACATCTTTTATATTATATATATTAAACAAGAAATGGGCTGGGCATACTGGCTGCAAATACACAAACATACACAAAGAACAGAGAAATTTAAAGAGACTGATATAATCTGGCCTGCCCCTTGTCTTCCACTATGGGGGGAAAAATGTTACTGCAAAAAAAAAAATCTCAAATTAATAATTAAATTAATTATTTAAAAACAGCATATAAGGGAAAGAGCTTTTGAAAGGTTGTAGTCTAAAAGTTCTAGATGCATGCACCTAAGAAAGAAAACCATCAATTACCACTGAGCTGTACTAATGAAGGCATATCTTAAATTTATTTACATTTCACCCCTAGCACCACATATCTCAGTGATCATATTATGTTGCAAGGAAAATTAGGTTGGTTAGTTCATGTCCTAAATTATCCCCTAAAATGCCCATCTTCTAAGCCCTGAATGTGTGTGCATCAAATCTGAGCTACTTAGGAAGCAGAAGCAGGAAAACACAGAATTCCACACAGCCCTGGTAACATGGCAGGAACTAGTCACAGCAAGGACAATTGGAGGTGTGAGGGTGAGGGCTCTTAAATGGTACCATCTTGTCTAAAGTTGCTAACCTAAAGCTGCTAGTCGTTTTTTCTCCTGGATTTTTTCTTCTGGGCTCCGTACCTAGTTTCCCTGCCTAATAGTCTCAGGTCACATGTTATCTTTAGTAAATGACTAAACTTTTGTTGTTGTTTCTTCCACTAATACAGCAATATAAAGGATCACTTTCTGATTTGTTCTCTTCTAGAACCCCAGTGTATTCATAGCATATGGCAGAGGAGATATCAACATCTGATAAATGAAGAGCTGAATGCATTGGTAGCATTTTAGAAAATGGTTCTCAAAGTCTTTTTATCTTTTTTACCAGTCACTGGATACAACTCTACAAGGCACAGACGCTGAGCAGGAAAGGTGGTAGAATTAGGTTGGTAGCAGGGAACTAGGGGATGAGGACATGAGAACACCATCTGCCTGCAGAATCAGATTCTTTAAAATGTACACAAAGCATGCTTTGTGCCCCCTTTGGCTTGTTAGGAAGTATGATACTGGCCTAATGCTGTTCATCATGGGAACAGACAACAAAGGAAAGCTGTGTGATGAACTGAGCCTGGTCTAAGGCATGTTTTAAAGCCAAAGGGGTCTCTCCAAAGCTTTTCAACTACATAGCAAAGAAAGTTTAAAGCTAATAAGAAAAATTCTCGAAAGTAATTATTGAATTTAGATGAGTTATTACATTTTTTACTCCCCTTCTGAATGGAATATCTCCCCAGATTATTTAGATGAATTTATTAATCAACAACTGCTGTCAGAAAGATGAGACTGTAAATAATTTACAAATACCTATAAAGAGCAATGTTGATTTCACTGTGGATCTGAGGAGAGCTTGGTCAACTAGTCAACATGGCCTCCATGAGGAAGTGACTTAAAATGTAGCTGACTTAAGAAAGAAAGAAATATTCTCCACTATCAACCTTGAGAATCCGACCCCAAGCAATGGCCAGCAAGACAGCTCAGCGAAAAGCACTTGCTCACAGGCCTGTTGACATGAGTTCAATCCTCAGTTCCCACAAGGTGGCAGGAGAGAACCAGATCTGGAAAGTCATCCTCTGATCTTGTGTGTGCATGCACACACAAACACACACACACAAACACACACACACACACACACACACACACAAAACCAGAAAAATCTAAAACAACAGCACATATGGCACACAATTATGGAAGCAAAGTATCACACATGCAAAGGAGCAAACAGTAAAACTATAGGAACCGATATTTAGCTTAAGAAATCCACATGAAACTCATTTTTCCTAAAGATTCTTTCATGTGTGTGCATGTCAGAAACATGTATCTGTGGGTACCCACAGAAGACACAGGAAGGCTTCAGGTCCTCTAGAGCTGCAGTTACAAGCACCTGACATGGGTGCTGGGAATAGAACTCAGGTGTTCTTAAACAGCAGCAAGTTTTCTTAAACAATGACCTTGTTCTTTCGCCCACAAAGAACTCATTTTGTACACTGCATCTAAATGAAGGGTCTAAGTTGAGCTCAGACTCTGGGTTCATGTAGGAGTATAATAGTGTTTCTGAAACTCTCTGAGCAATAAAATCTTTCCTTTTTATTATTTACTGAGAAAACCACTCAGAAGGCTTGTATACATATTGCTTGCCTTAGGTTCTGGTTATCTAGAATAGAAACTATAAATTAACCTGTAAGAAAAGACAGTGCAAGGGTTGGGAAAAAAATCTGTCCTAGTTACATGACTGCATGTTCTCAACAGCAATAAAGATGAACTCAAATAGTTTAAGAATAACAAACCCAGAAGGTCAACCATGTTTTCTGTCCTTGGACAGCCAATCATGCTTTTCAAAGCCTAACCCTGTCCCCATTACAGAAAACCTTTCCCAAAAGTCTCCTTGCAATACCCAAAGACCCGACACACTCACCTGTCACCTTCTCATCACTGTGGCAGAGTCAAACCTGAGTTTTTGGCTTCTGGAAATGGCATATTGATTCCATTCTCCCCAGCTTTATCTAACCACTTCTATCTTTTAACTGAGAGCCTATCTTGCTTCTGGAAAACATCTATGACTAAATTCTGGGAACTTTAGGTCATGCCACTTAGTTTCTTCATCAAGAACATAAAGAAAGCTCATCATAACAATAAAGCACAGCAGCATTTTAAAGTCAAGTGCTTACCTTTGAATACTTCTGTAGTTCCTCGTCATCTGCAATCTGTGTGTCCAAGGTAGCTACCTACATTTATAAGAAAAATGTTTCCATGTCTGTATGAGCATAATTTAATTTCCTCCTGTTTTCTGAAATATCAGCAAACTCGGCACATTGACAACTCATCTGAAAATCTCTATCCAGTATTTCTGATATCCATAAGTATAGCACATACCAATACATTTGCTTTTCTGTCATTTTCTACATTAATATTTTCATCCTAAATTATCTAGAAGTTGAACTAAAGATGACATATAATTTGACTTCCTGTCCTTCCTCTGCATGGACTGTATTTTATTAACATCTTACAGGTGCAGGTTATCAGTAAACTACTTCTTCTTGCAAGAAATTCATTTCTACCAATGTCTACCAATAAAACTCAATATCTGAACAGCACACACACAAGAAATTTATTTCTACCAATGTCTACCAATAAAACTCAACTAATATCTGAATAGCACATACATCCAACTTTTGGTATTAAGAGGTTTCTCAAGTTTTCATGAAGGTATACTAAGTGTACATATTGACATCAGTTTTAAATTACTTTTGATATCTAGTACAAAGAAAATGCGACAAAAATGTCACAATATATTGTTTAAGAATGATGATGTGAAAATAAAAGTTTGTACCTGTTCAGTTCTGATGAAAATGTGTTTAAACTACAGTGACAAAGTGGAATCAACACATGGAGTCAAATATGAAGGTCTAACTATGTCAACTTTAAATCCTAGGATCCTCCAAATTTTAATAAAATTCTCATTATATTAGATCTGTAAAAAATTTACTGTTGGACCATCAAGATGGCTCAGCAGGGGCTGGAGAAACGAATCAGCAGTTAAGACCACTGGCTGCTTTTCCAGAAGACCTGGGTTTGATTCCCAGATCCCCACAGTGGCTCACAACCATCTGGAACTAGCTCCCAGGGATCTGACCCCATCTTCTGGCCTCTGGGGGCACAGGCACACAGGTGGTGCACATACACACTCAGTCAGGCACTTACACAGAAAATAAATATTTTTTAGAATGACTCAGCAGGTAAACCTCTTTCTGTGCAAGCCTAATGACCCGAGTTTGGTCTTTAAGACAAATGCAAAAGTGGAAGAAAACTGATCCTGAAAGCTGTCCTCCAATCTCCACATGCACAGCCACACTCATACGCACAATTACAGTACATATTAAAAAATTTATCCTGGCACTCAGGAGGCAAAGGCAGGTAGGTCTCTGAGATCAAGGTCAGGGCTACACAGGTAAACCCTGTCTCAAAAAAACAAAAATAAAAAAAAAATGTATTCTTAGCCAGGCATAGTGGCACATACCTTTAATCCCAGCACTTAAGAGGCTGAGGCAGGGAGATCTCTGAGGGTTCAAGGCCAGCCTGGTCTACATAGTGAATTCTAGGACAGTCAGAGCTACATAGTGAGACAGGGAGTGATTTTTTTTTTTCTTTTGACAAAACTGAGAGCATTGCCTTTTTAAACTTTCAAATTCAGGTCTTATATTCCATAAGTCAGTCATGGAGACATAAATCAGGAGATGGTGGAAAAGGACCAGCAATTCAAGGTTAGCCTCTACAGTTTTAGGCTAGCTGGAACTACATCAGATCCACTCTCAAATGAATATCTCCTCCTCCATAGAAAACAAGCAAAAATCCAGACGAGTAGATCTGAAAGAAAGTGCAATAAGGAAAGAGGAATGTACGCATCCATTCACTCATATGCCTTACCAGGCTCCCCTTGTATGCCTAGAACGTTAGAGGAATCACTGTAAAGATCCAACTTAAAATCTCTCCTGTTTCCAGCCTCAACTTCACCATGTGATGCAAAAAAATCTGAGCTATGGAGAATAAGACTTTAACACACAACACACATCCCTCCACCACAGAGCTTTATTCCCCAGTATGACTGTTAGTGTAAAGCTCGCCTAGCACGCACACAAAAGCCCTGAGTTTCAGTCAGGCATGATAGCTCATGTCTGTAACCCCACAACTGAGGAGGTGGAAGCGGGAGGGTCACAAGTCCCGGGTCATCCTTGGCTACGAAGTGAGCTTGAGGGCAGCCTGGACCATATGAGACCCTGCTTCAAAAGAGTGAAAATGAAAAATCCCATCATACAACTGGTGAACCACACACTCCCTGAACACACACAAGGATGTGTGACTTTCTAGAGAGCAGTCTAGTGACAGAGCTCTATCAAGTAGAGACTCCACAGTTACAAGAACTAACACACAGGCCTGGGAAGAATAAGAAAGCAATCATGTGACTAATCTTAATGACAGACACTAAAGCAACTCTGGTGACAGTGGCCAGACATCCAAAACACAAAGTGTCCACCCAGTATTAATGACCATATACATGAGGATGTGTCAGGGCTATATAACAAGACTTTGTCTCAAAACAGAAAATTTGAAATACAACAGAAATTTCATTGCCATGTTTGATGGCCGCCAATGAGAGTTTTCCAGCAGCTCCTGCTTTCCTGTGGACTCATGGGAAATGTAGCCGATGCTTTACTGGCCAAATCTAATAACTGGCGAAGGGAAGCCTAATGGCCTGCTGGCACCATAAACTCATACCTCACCTAAATTACTTCCTGTTCTTCTAAATACATTTCATAATCATTCTTTCATTTTTCTCATAAAACTGTAAGATTCTTTGTGAAACATAGGACTAATATCCACAGCCCTTTCAGTGTACAATAAAACGAACAGATCATAAAAGCAATCATAAAGATGCCAGCCATTTTAAGCAGCTGATTCAAGTTATAAATTTAAAGGCAAGCTTTCACCCTCCTAATGTTCTTCTGCCTATTGTTGACCTAAATGTCTTCAATATGATCTGAGTGTCTGTTAATTGTAACTGAAGTCTGTGTACAGTCCTTAATTGTTCTTATAGCTTAAAACGCTTTAAAAATTGATTGATTGCCCTAATAGGAAAGAAAGACAGGAAGAAAACAATAGAAGCAGCCTGTGTCTTCTTTGACTCTCTCCTGTCATTTTGAATTATAGTGCTAGGAGTGTAACGTGAAATGAAACATACCATTACTTCATAATCTGGGCCCAGTAGGTTTTCCCATCTGGATTTCAGCTCATTTTCCGGAGCGCTTTGGCCTTTCTCTGGATATACATCTATAAGAAAAAGAGCAGTGAAGCTGCTGTAAGCCAAACATATTAACTAACAAATTCTTTAATAACAGCCCAGCTTCAGTAGGAAAAGAGGAAATGAGTAAAAGGGAAAATGTATTAATTTAAATCTACCTGGTAATATAGATCAAAGTGACTTATGAGAATAATACAAAATGTAAAGCCACCTGTGACAGACTTGTGAAGGAACTTTTGTTCAGAAATATCTTAAAGGGTAGAGGAAGTGATGAAGTACAAGTGAATGTATAGTTTCTATGTAGTTTCCTACATATCTGGCTTAGTTTTATGAAGCTCTTACACAGAGTTGTACCATTCCCTCTCTCTACTGGGAATGTAAATGCCTACAGAGCTAGCACTGTAATCAATAAGACAGAGTGACACAACCCAGCCAGGCTTCTGTAAGCCAGGATGGACAAAAAGGCTAAAATCTGAATTTCATCAGATAGAAATGTTAATTTTATACCAGTCTTTTGCTGCTGCTTAATTATTAGGATATTTGTACCTTTTTAATGCTCTCGATTTAATGGTGCCATTATCACACAAGTGAGATCATTTTATAAGGACAGACATATTTGAAGTGCCAGGCCTACCCTCTGTATAATCTTCCCCAGACTCTCAGAGTAGCTAGCAGTCTGAAGAATGCCTGACAGATAAAAGTCAAAGTACTAAAACTATCATTGCACTTACATCCATACTAACAGCAGAGGATAAAAAGGTTCCACGTTTTTTAAGTTCTGCATGTCACAGAACGCTTATCACAAGTGACATAACCATCTGCCTGCCGTCAAATGTAACATGCAGCATCAGCTCTTTTCATCTCCAGAGCAGCTCTCTGGCTGCACAGAACGCTTAATTACATACTACAAATCATTAAGTTAAATAGACTTACTTCAGAATCAGAGACTAAGACTAATGAACACTAAAGGACTTAAATTACTCCATTTACAAAAGAATATCCAGGAAATAACTATATTAACTGATATGCTAGATTACATTTAGGGACAGCTAATCAAAGATCCTATTAAAACAAGTATCAAAATCGTTCTGGTGGCATGCACTCCTGTGAACATTTCCTTAAGAAATTCTGAATTCTTACAGCTTTCTTTCTTTCTTTCTTTCTTTCTTTCTTTCTTTCTTTCTTTCTTTCTTTCTTTCTTTCTTTCCATTAATTTACTAGTGTTGGGTAGGGGGCAGGAGGAAGAATCTACAAGCCACAGCACAGATGTGGACATCAGAGAACAACTTGTGTGGAGGTGGCTTTCTCCTTCAACCTTACGCTGGTTATAGGAACCGACCTGGGGTTTTCGGGCTTACTGCAAGTACCTTTATGCACTGACCACCTTTCCAGCCCCTTTACCAAGTTCTTTAAAAGGTTCAACAATTTACCTGTTCAGTGTCTTCCAGGTGCAGTTTCATGTCTGCTAAATGAATCTGAACAAAATCTACAATGTATTGAGGGAATTCTAAGCGTACAAACATGGTAGTCAGAAGACATAAAGTTCACCCAAGTAAAAGAAGATGCTGATGATTCTAATCCCTTGAGGCTGTTTTTTACCTTTCAGGTAAACAATGAAAGTACAGACAGCTATGCATTTTAAAGCACAGCTCAGAGGACTATGGCCAGAGGAAGGTGGTTAATCTCCCTGCAGCAGCAGCAACAACAACAACCAAAAAATGCTGCACAAGAGAGTAACCATTTCGTGAGACAGAGACTAAGGTCACAGCAGCCAGGAGAGGCAGGCATACTTGCAAACTGAAATTATACCCGTGCATGAAAATATAGTGAAATTTATTTTTAAAATCCGAGCACATGCTGGATGTGGTAATGTGAACCTTTAACCCCAACACTTGGAAGGCAGCAGCAGGCAGATCTCTGTAAAGTTGAAACCAGCCTGTGGTCTGCACAGCAAATTCCAGGTTGCGAGGGCTACATAGTGAGACCTTATCTCAAAATAAAAAAATAAAGATATTTTTTAAAAAGAACAACAACAAAAAGGCATGGGTACAGGATAGGGAAGTGGAGACAGAAACACTGTTAAGTTCTAGGCTAGCCTGAGCTATACAGTAATATTCTCAAAAATCAAACAAAATAATGACAATAGCAATGAGACACCATTTCTAAAACTACTTCTAATTTCAATTTTATCCGATTTTCACCTAGTTCTTTGATATTCATCTGAGGTCAACTAAATCAAAAGAGTAACAATTGTATTCTAGTTGGATCCAAAAGGGTAGCTTCTAAATCTTTATCTTGAGTGAGGTATTACTAATACTTTCCTTCGGGCTATCTTTCCTAACATATATACATATATAAAAAAGCCAAAAGTCAGATTCTCTGGAACATGGATGGTGCTAAATATTGTAAGGAGTTTCCCTTAGCTGGCAAAGCTTTCCTTAAGTATCCCTGTAGAAGGAACCGAGCTATGTAACTCAGTAGGATTGCAGAACACAGTCCCGATAACAGCTGACATGTCAAAATTGGAAACAATTCGAAAATTTTAAAATAAATATACTGCAGACTGTCATTTGATGCAACTTACAAAAAAAAACAATGTTAACTTTTATGAAGAGGAAACACTTCTACATATAAGCAGAGACCTACAATATTTAGATGTAATACAATTGTAACACATAAGTAAGAACACATAATTAAAATGCTACATAGTTATTGTATACTAATAAATATGCATTTGAAATACAATTAAACAAAAATATACTTGGTGATCTATTGCCAAACGTGTTAAGATTATGTTAAGATTATAGTGAAAACATCCCATTTTATTAAAATGTAGAGGGTGTGACGTTGCGGTAGTACTAGAGATTTAACCTAGGGCCTCATATATGCTAGGCTAGCATCCTACCATAGTGGTATATCCCTAGAAAAATATCCCGCCTTAAATCTCTAAGATGTCTCTACAGCATGAGCTTCCATCAGATAGACTGCTTTTATACAGACCTCTAAATCCTACCTGTTATTAGGATATTTGTAGCTTTGCTAAGCCTTTGGTGTAATACTACTGCCTTTATTGCATAGGTCTAAGTCTGCTTCTGCAGATGCCACACCATATTAACTACCGAGAAGAAATGGTTAATAAACAAAACAGTTGAGTACTCCAAAGAAAAGGCTTTTGGCCTACCTGGTTTTTCTAAGGCTTGTATGTTGTTGTTTTTTAGATTATCCAGTCTTTCTCCAATTTCCTCTGCTTCTATACCCACATTAGTTTCTGTTTCCAGGGATTCAGTTAGGGCTGGTACTTTAGGCGGTTCTGCACCAGTTCCTAAAATAAGAATTGCTGGCTTGAATCACCAGTCCTGCGGGGAAGTAGGGCGGCACAATCAAATGAGCTTATTTCACTCCCACTCACCCTTTGCGGGACCTCACTGCAGGTAACTCCTATAATACTAAAGTTTTCTGCTAAGTAACTAACTCTAAAAAATAGCTTGATAGTATTTAAAGCATGAAGAAATACAGAAAATGAAAGTGAAAAGCAAGGTTAAGTCTATTACAAAAGTGGAATGGATTTCTTACAATATAGTTAAGGAAGGAAGGAAGGAAGGAAGGAAGGAAGGAAGGAAGGAAGGAAGGAAGGAAGGAAGGAAGGAAGGAAGGGAAAGCAACAACAATGAGAAGGCTGTATGTGCTTGCTGTTGTGGACAGGTACTGAGCAACATGTGTGAATAGGCTAGACCAACCATCAAACACATGTGGAAAGCCAAAACAGCAACCTCAGAGACCATGAGGGGGAGAACTCCCATGGGTGCAGATGGCTCCTCTCCTTTTCTTCAGATGAGACAAAGTTAAGCTACGTTACCAGCAAGTCACTTAGTATCTCTAAACAAAAGAAACACAGCACAAGTGACAATTTGGAGGATTTTTCTTTCTTTCTTTTTTTTTTTTTTCTTTTTTGTTTTTCAGGACAGAATTTCTCTGTAGCTTTGGAGCCTGTCCTAGAACTAGGTCTTGTAGACCAGGCTGGCCTTGAACTCACAGAGACCCACCTACCTCCGCCACCACCACTCGGCTGGAGGGTTTCATTTTATTAAAAGTAATTCCTCATCATTTTAAACGAATTTTTAAAATATTAATATATATTTTAAATGTATACGAGTGTTTAGCCTTCGGGTCACATAAATACATTAAGTATGGGGCCTGCTCACTGCAGAGGACAGAAGAGGGTGTCAGATCCCTTGGAATCAGAATTAACGGTTGCTTATGAGCCTTCATGAGGGTGCTGCAAACAAAATCTGGGCCCTCTAAGAGCAGCAAATGTTCTTAACCACTGAGCCATGGCTCCAGCTCTTTGTAAAAGAATTTTTATTAAAAGTACAAGACTACAAAGAAATAATCAAAATTCAGGTTGTGGCATTTCAGTGTCTAGTAAACAAATCTCTTCAGAAAAAAAACATAGAGCAGGGATGAGGGAGGACTTCCATATTCAGAAGCCATACAGGGATGCATGATTTAGGAAGGATTGTAAAAGGGAGGAGTCAGGAAGAAAATATAGGAAGAAAAAATACAAAAGATATTTTAGGGTAACTGGGAAATGTGTATGTGTTGCCTGTCGCTCTTTCTTGATGTGCACATATGTGTGTATGCTGGCGTGCATGCACAGAGACCTAAGGAGACCTTTAAGTGTCTGTGTCACTCTCCACCTTATTTTTTTGAGATGGGATCTCTCTTTGAACCTGGAGCTAGGCTGGCAGTCAGCAAACCCCAGCACTCCTCCTGCCTCCGGCCCTCACAGTGTTGGGTTTACAGGAGCAATGGGCAGCCATGCTCAGCTTTTGCATAGATTCTGAGCATTTGAATTCAGGTCTTCATCTTACAAAGCAAGCATTCTTACCTTCTTATCCACAAAGCAATCTCCCCGGCACTACAAACTGAGAAATCATATATATATAGTATCTGATATTTAATATTAGTAGTCCTTCTCCTTGTTGTGATAATAGCATGATTGCTTAATGAAAATATTCATATTTTCATGATGCTGACACCATTCACTCAAAAGTGGTTTAGAAGGAATATGGGGAGATGGTGACGGTCAGATCAAAGTGGAAAGTAACTGGGTGTTCGTTCTGTTCTGTTTTTCTATATGCTTGATATGTTTGAAGTTTTTTTTTTTGTTTTTGAATTTTTGTTTCTGTTTTTTTGAGACAGGGTTTCTCTGTAGATTTGGAACCTGTCCTGGAACTAGCTCTTGTAGACTAGGCTGGCCTTGAACTCACAAAGATCTGCCTACCTCTATCTACTGAGTGCTGGAATTAAAGGTGTGCACCACCACCATTTGGCTTGCTTGAAATGTTTTAAAAACAAAAGAGTTCAAACATACAACCAATTAAACTCCTATCACTGTAACATGAGACTTTAAAACCACTCACATAGTATTTTTTTAGATCATTAATCAACTAATGTCATAAAGAAATGCATACATAGTAGTAGGATAAGAAATGCCAATCATTAATTGAGGCATTATTTATTTATAATAACCAAGATAAGGAAACAGCTTCAGTGAACACTTAGCATAAATACATAAATAAAATGTGTATATACAAAAATAATTAATATTGTTGATTCTTTAAAAAGGAAATCTAGCCAGTTGTTAGAGCCTAGATGAGCCTGGAGAACACTGGGAAGTAAAGTCAGCTCAGCAGAGAAGGATAAATACTGCAGGGCTCTACCTACTTGAGCTATCTGCATAGTCAAACTCAAAGAAACAGTAAAATGGCAGCTGACAAGAGGGGAGAGTTAATGACATGAAGTTTCAGTCACAGAAGATGGGAAGGTCTATGGATAAGCTAGTCAATAATGTACACAAAGTTAACAACAGAGATACTTTTTTTTTTATCTTTAAGGCAGGATTGCACTATGCAGCCCTTGCTGGTCTAGAACTTACTATGTTCTAGACCAGGCTGGCCTTGAACTCATAGCAATCCACCTGCCTTTCCGAGTGCTGAGACAGAAGGTATGGCCCTCACAAACAAAGAGAAGGTGAATCTAGAGTGTGAACTGATGGGATTTAGAACCAATCAGAAAGGAATCTCTGGTCATTCCTGTGACAGCTCATCTAGATAGGGTGACTGAAGGTGACCTCACTCTACCTGATGAGATCCTGAACTGAACAAAAGGAGAAAATATGTCGAATACTGACATCCTTCACCCTATTTCCTAACTAGAGATGTTCTGCTACTAGCTAATGTCTCACTCCCGTGACCATACCTTCCCCGCCATGACAAACAGTGTCAGTTGAACTATAGGCTAGAACTAATCCTTCCTTCCTTTCTTAAAATGTTTCTTGGTAAGTATTTGGTCATGGCAATGAGAAAAGCAATTAATGTAATAATAACTTTTTTCATTTTAGATTTATTTCTTTTATTTTATGTGTATGACTATTTTGACCATGTACATGCCTGGTACCTGGAGAGATCAGAAAAGAACATTTTGATCCCTTGGAACTTAAGTTTATTTGCTTGGGGGGGGGGTGTAGCTGTTGTTTTGTTTTATTGGGTTCTTTGTTTTGTTTTTGTTATTTTTTTTAGAAGTCCTCATTATTTAACCCTTACTGCTCTGGAACTTACTATGTACATCAGGGAGGTCAGGGTGGACTTGACTCACAGAGATTTGCCGCTCTCTCCTCAGTATTGGGATTAAAGATATGCATCCCCACCAAACCCGGTGAAACTGATATTAATAATAGTTTCTTTTTAAGTGCCAATCAGAGGAGCCGGAAAGATGCTCAGTAGTCTAGAGCACGGGCTGCTCTTCCAGAGGACCTAGGTTCCATTCCGAGCACCCACATGGCAGCTAAAAACTGTAATTCCACTCCCGAGGGATCTGATGCTCTCTTCTGGCCTTCACAGGCACCAGGCACACATGTAGTGTACAGAATGCTACAAACAAAAAAACTCATACAAATTAACAGAATATTTTTTAAGTTATAAAATGACAGTCAGAGCTCCTGAGGAATACAGATATGTACCATGAGAACTTTAGTAACATATCATAGTGTGATTGTATGCTAAAGACCCAAATACTGGCCAGCAAGAAGACTCAGACAGTAAAGCCTCATGCTGCCAACACAGATGATCTTAGCTCAATCTCCAGAACCCATATGGTAGAGAGAGAAAACTGTCTCCTAAAAGATGTCCTCTGATATTCACAAATTATATATTTTTACACAATGAAGACTTTCTATTTTCTAACCTTATCGACAAAAAAAAAAATACCATTTAATAAAAATGTTCTTGAAAAAACTTTCTATTTTATCTTTTCACCATGCTTCAAATGACAAATCAAGAGAAAAATAGAGTAAAACACATCATAAAAACAATCTGGGACGTGAAGCTTGAGAAATATCAAGGTGTAAGCAAATGAAGGATCCTAGATCAAAACAGTGATTTCCATCACCTTTCGAGGCAATCAGTGCTTGCATCCTGTCATTTGGGCTGGTGCACCCCAGCAGGTCAGGGAAAAGACTGCAAAGGAGACCAGCTGACTCATTTCCCCATCACGCCATTACATATTTCCTATTCAGTCTTCCAGACCATACCTTTGCCATTCTTCCAAACTCAGCTCCATGGAGAGGAGAAGGATGGGAGCAGGAATTACCTCTGTCTGAAGGCTGTTCAAATGGAAAATCTGATGAAGATGCTTTCCTGCGAACTAGGGTTAGGTGAACCACCTGCCCTGCATTTCGTAATACTTCAACAACATCCTGGTTGGCAAAACCCTGAATATTCACACCGTCCACCTATGACATCAAGAGAAAGAAGAGAGTTTCAACCAAACCATCACCATTTTTGTTTTGAAAGAAGGTCTCACTATGTAGCAAAGAGAGACCAACTCAGTACACAGCCCAAGCTGGCCTCAGATTTAGTATTTCTCTTGCCTCAGCTTCTTGAGCGCTGGCTAGAGGTGTCTGAGTCATCATGCCCATCAACTATTCCCATTTTTAACTTTTGCAGTGCTGAATAAAATGGGGTAACTAATTTTTCTTCCCAAATACTTTATGCAGTATCAGAAAGTATTTTTGAATAAAAATATAAAATTAGTTTTGTTAACAAATTTACATGCAAATAAGAAAATAAATTCCAACACATACACACACATATATTGTTTGATTGTTTGTTTGTTTTTTGGGGGTTTTGTTTTGTTTTGTTTTTCAAGACAGGGTTTCTCTGTAGCTTTGGAGCCTTTCCTGGAACTTGCTCTGTAGAACAGGCTGGCCTTGAACTCAGAGATCCACATGTCTCTACCTATGAGGTCTATGTACCCAATGATACATACAGACTCTTAAAGAGTACTTTATAGAAAATATGGAAACACCTTTCAGATATATTCCTATGCATACATTTATTTAAGTGTGTAATTTTCCCCACCAATATGTTTAGTAGAATATTTCCTCTTTGACAGGAATAAATGATATTTAGAGCCTAAAATCATATAAGAGTCTGAATCAAATATGATTTCACCGCACTAGTAAAGCTAATTTTTTAATACCTTATGAGCTGGGTATGGTGGAGCACGTGTTTAATCCCAGCACTTGAGAGGCAGGTAGACCTCTAAATTCAAGGACAGCCAGGTCTACAAACTGAGCTCTAGGCCAGCCAAGGCTATATAGTGAGATCCTGTGCCAAAAAACAACAAACCTTAAAATTAAAATAAAACTAAAATTACAAAATTAAACTAAGCCATCTTCTTCTCTTGAATATGAGAGAAGAAAGCCATTACTTACAGCCACTATTTTGTCATTCACTTGAATTTGGCCATTGTGGTACGCAGCACTGCCTGGTATTATACTTTTCACATAAATCCCTGAAGCTTCCCCTGAAAGTGCACAGACATACAGAAAAAAAGGAAGAAAGCTAAAATTAGGACCTGATTGCAAAATTCTTATCAAGAGGTTAATTAGCTAAAGAGGCTGACTAGAGACTTCGTAAATACTATTTTGAACACATGCAGGGAAATTGATGGATTATTTCAAACTGTCACCATCACAAGTGACCTGAATTCAAAATGATTTGACTGATGACTACCCTTCTGGAGAAATAATCAGTAATGGAACCTTGATGAATGCCTTTCTCTCTAAGCTGGGATTCTGGGGAGCTAGGACAAACCCTGGTCTATCTCTACTTGAACTGCTAACTCAGCGCAAGCTCTCATCATTTTTCACTAGCATCAAGACAAGAGTCACACATATCCCTCCTATATTTAAGTTGAGTGCTGATGTGTATCATCCAGATACAAAGAAAACCACATGTGGTCCTTTAAAGAAGCTAGCATGGGGCCAGCAAGATGGCCTGGCGCCCTGAGTTCAATCCTAGGAGCACACATAGAGGTGGAAACGATCAGCTTCACAAAGTGGCCCTGTGACCTTTACAGGAACCCCAGGACAGGCACATACATCCCTATACACATAGAATAATAATTTTAAAAAATAGAATGAGCTCAGCAGCATAAGATAATCCTCATACTATAAAATTAAATATTTAACAACAAACAGCTATAAAAATTATAAACATATAAAAAGTAACATTCCCAAGAGAAAGAACTACAAGGAAAATGGTTTAAGTATAAAACTGTATCTCTGAATGGTATTACTAAGCTCCCACTGCTAGCATAATTATATAAACTTTACTGAATCATATCCCAGATCATCTGTATCAGGAAAAATAATTTATATTTCTGCAGGTGGCCATGGGGGTATACAGCAGGTAACAACTAGCATTCAGCAGGTCGACCGACCAGACAAATGACTCTGTTGGGGAGCCACACAAGGAAAAGTCCATGGGTCACTGGTGGTGGAAACCAGTTGCTACCATCTGTAATTTCTCTCATGTGCCACTTCATTTTTTCCCTAAGAACTGCTATGGGTATATTGCCATTGCTTGTATGTTTATCTCATGAAAATATTCCAGCTATTGGGCACTCATATAGCTGTGGATGGTCAGGAAGATGATTTCTACTTAATTGTGTAATTATAATGAATAGATATAACACTAGGATACTTTTCATTATTCAGACTGACACAGGAAAGTAATAGTTTTCTCAGTCACAAAGTCAAATAATTTTAGACTTCCAAACATATTCAAAACAATCCGGTTGCCCCTGGAGACAAATACCTGGTTGCTCCTAGAGACAAATACACATGGACAAATTCCCAAGTGTTGTTTATTGCTGATTCAAGATCAGGCTAGAAGCAACATTAGTAGACATAACTTTCTCAGAAACTGACCTTTTGCATGTAGTTCCAGCCTCAGTTTGTGTTATGGGCTCAAGGTTCAGTCTGAGAACCTGAACTATTTAGGCTATGTGCATGGCTGGTCAATGTGGCATCCCAAGCCTAAGAGAAACTTGTGTGACTTATCTTGTTTTTTGAGAATGGGTCAGGCCCTGAAAATGTAACATATAATTGTCCATAGTTTGGCTGAGGATAGGAGGCTGTGTGGAGCTCTGAAGAAGGTGATGGGAGAAAAGGGGTGGAGAGATGTGCAGGCTGAGCAGTTAGAGAGAAGCTTCTGAGCAGAGCAATAAGGAGGGATGCAGAGCTGATTAGGCTGCTGAGGAGAGCTATGTAGAGGAACAAGAGAGATGTTCAGAGGATTTTTTTCAAAATGAAGTAAAAGAGAAAGTTACCATCAGAAAGTGTGAGTTTGCTTATTTCTTCCCTTTAGACAGAAAAAGTCTAACCTTCAGATAGACACGAACTTTTCCTAAGCCCTCACCATATCAGTGGATTTTTTTTTTTTTTTTTTTTTTTTTGCATAGCATGGGTGCTCACTAGAGGCTGGCCTCATCAGTTAGCCATATATTTCAATATCATCTTCCACATATTCCTTCTACAAGGCATGACACCCAGAGCTTTCCTGACTCTACAGGTTTCTTCTTCCCTATCTAATCCTCCTTCCCATTGCCCAAATGCTTCTTTCTCAAGTCTCCTCTCAACTTCAGTCTTGCATCTGCCATGCTAGAACAGTGCTTGCCTCTTTACTAAAACATGTATTTCCAGTTATCTTTAAACATTTACAGGGTTTTACACTTTAATTACATTCCCTGAATAGATTCTTTGGTTTGTTTTGGTTTCTAAGATTAAGTTTCTCTGTGTTGTCCAAGCTGGCCTTAAGCTTGTGAGCTCAAACGACCCTTCCTACTCAGCTGCTGAAGTGACTAAGATTGCAGGAGAATGGGGTTGCCACCATGCCTGCTCAAACCCCAGCACAAAAATCAAAGACCAAAAATAAATGGAATAAAGTGTTTTTTAAAGCTGTTGACATTTCAAATGTCTCATTTTTTCTCATCCTCTTAAAACAACCCAAGCCCACACATGTTTTGAGAGTAAATACGTAAAAAGATTCTTCTCTGTACTTATTATTCAATAACACAAACATCAAATTTTCTCTCATTCATTAATTTTTCCTTAGACACTGAGCATAAATTTAGGAACTCAGTCACCACTCAACTTTAACAAAATAAAAGACAGTGATAACAATTCAGTATGTTTTCTGCAACATTATTTTTTAAATACATACTTAGCTTTTAAAGGACTTATTTAAATTCTGAAGCTAAAAAGTGTGGCACGTAGAAAAATCAGAAGTTTTGAAATTAGATATTTCATTAGGCTGAAATAGCACAAAGTGGTCTGACATGAATTTCATTCAGGCCTGTGAATACATTAGCACTCTTAATCTCTCCACCTGCTCCCATGCATGGTTACAATTTTTTTTAGGGAAATAACTTTCTATTTGCTATTTTTCAGAAAAGCTAAAATACTTCATAGCTAAATTCTCATGTAACTGCCAACTATTTTTAAAGGTTTATTTTTACTTAACTAGTAATTATTCAATAACCAAGGGAAAACTAACAGTGAAAGCTACTGCTAACTTTCAGGTTACATTTGAGGAAAAAAAATTAGCCAGTTACTTGAATCATGTATTCTTGCAATGTACTCCCCATATATGAAAGAAAATAGTTCTAATGAAATACTTTTCTATCTTATTTTTTTCATGATTAAACACAAATATATTTTGGGTATTTACAATATACAATATAGAGTAGTCAATTTACTTTATCCCAGACACAATACTGTATATCTTAACAGTCACACAATATTCAAAACAGAACTAGAGAAAAGTGAAGTTCCAATGTTACAAAATGAACTATACATTAAATTCCTTTGTTACTAACTATAAAGCCAGCTGTTAAACTATTGAGGCAAAATGTGACTCACTGACAAGAAACTGCTTGCTATTCTAGATTCATAGTTTTATTGTTTGAGTTTTAAATTAAATTCTGTGGGTACTTAATTTTATTATCTAGACATCTTAACATCCTTTATAATTATCCAAAATATGAAGTAGGAATGATTCATTTACCTGGATGAGCTGCTCCAACATAGCCAACAATTCTAATACCAAGGCTCTGTCCATCTTTTTTAACAAGTTCAACATTGTAAGTTTCAAAAAGAGAACAGTCCTGCAGAGAAATAAAGCACCCACTGTTACATTTTAAGTTGTATAAATGTATACATACTCAATCTGTGTACCCAATTTTTTCTGAGACCAACTGAATTTGAAGAGGGTCCCCATGATTTCTCATCCCTGAACCTGCCCCTGTGAAGGGAGATTACTCAAGTGGGCCTAATCTAATCAAAGAAGCCCCTTATAAGCAGAGTTTTCTCCTGCTGGTAAGAGAGGGCAAAGAAAAAGATTTGAAACATACAAGATCAGCTTGTTGTTTGAAGGTGGAGGTGTCATACAAGAAAGATGGGAATAAGAGGACCATAAGGGCTTGAAAGATGTTCTTGCTGGAGGGCAACAAAGAAAAGGCCCTCCATCTTACAGCCAAGAATTGCATTCCTCCACCAACTTGAATGAGTTCATCAGCCCAGGATATCAAGAAGGGAGCTCAGATAAATATCTCCCACTTACCCTTCTAAGAATCTAGGCAGAAAACTTAGCTAAGCCCACTCTGATTCTGACCTATAGAACTGAAACTAACCAAAGGTATTGTCCTCAGCTGCTAAATCTGTAACAACTTATAACAATAGAAAATTAATACAGACATTTAGAAAAACCTGAAGCTGTATTTTCTGAAAGAATCACAAGCCTAACAAAAAATTCAAGGGGAAGCTAGTTATTATAAATATATATTTTAAAACTGACTCTAAAACTTTAATACTTATCATCTAAAAGGGATAAGGTATCTAAACACCAGCACTGTTTTCAAGCCCAAACATCAGCATCAGAAACTAACCACACACATCAGAGAGCCTTGTGGACTGGATAAAATGACTTCAGTGAGCATGAGTAAAGATGGAAACTGAAATCAATTAGCACTGCAACCTGGAGAAACTAACAAAGTGCTAACATCATAGATACAAAATCCTGTTCACTGGGAGGTGGTGGTGCACACCTTTAATCACAGCACTGAGGGGCAGAGGCAGGCAGATCTCAGTGAGTTTGAGGCCAGCCTGATCTAAAAAGTAAGTTCCAGGACAGCCAAGACTGTTACAAAGAGAAACCCTGTCTTGAAAAACAAAAACAAAAATCAAAAAACAAAATTCCTTTTCTTTAGTTCCCAGGAAATGATTCTCTGAAGATAAGTGCTAGCCTTCTGCTTGGTCTAACAGAGTCTTCTTCTCTTCCCTTCTCTTCATGCTTTTATTCATGGGGAGGAGAAACTGGGAGACAGTTCAGTCTGCAAGGCACTTGCTGTATAAATGTGAGGAACAAAGTTCAGAACCCTAGCAGCAGATGTTAAAAGCCAGGCATGGTTGCATATACCAACCAGTATTCTCAATACTGGGGAGACAGACAGGATTCAGGGGCTTGCTGGCCATCCAGTTTGGTTGAAATGACAAGCTCAACTTTGTGAGAAGACTCTGTCTCAAAAGTAAGGTAGAGAGTAATAGTGGAATACAATGATTTCTGGCTTCAAGGCAAATATGTGTGCATGTACTTGCACACATGCACGTATGCATGTACATACCACACCAAAAAGAGGAAGAGAGAGAAACAGACATGTCTAATATCCATCATGAGTTCTCCCTGCTTCCAATATGAGCACTGAAGTGTGACTTATACTACTATGGTCACCCAGCTGAGAGAATTTCTCATCTTGCATTGAATCACAGGTAGCATTTGATATAAGAAGAATGGTTTTTATACTCACAGAACCAAGGGTCCTGTTGGCTATAGTAGGCAGGGCAACAGGTAAGGATACAGGTGTAGGAGGTGTCACTGCAATTTGACCAACAGGGTCTCTGGCCACCAGCATCCTCACTGAATTCCCACAGTTCCTTAGCACCTGAGCAACTTGTTCACTGGTCATCCCTTGCACATTTGTACCACCAATCTTCAAGATGTGGTCCCCTGTCTGTAGTCTCCCATCCTTTGGTGCAAGAAAGAAAAAACAAATTATTCAGAGAAATCTATGATTTAGCTTAATTGCTTAATAAAAATACATCAGACTTTCATTTCTGGCAAAAAGACTGACGAAGCCACTTCAAATGCTGACAAACCATTTCTAATGATCTACTCAGCTGACAAAAGATAAAGCAATTACTTGTAGAACACAAAGATGGAAGGGTCCAAAATGAAATGAGTAATCAGACCTCTAGGATGGGTCTCTGCTGGAGGGTTTTTAATGTACATCTAATAGCTTAGAGCCAGAATATAATGACCACGTAGGTAAGAAAGAAATCAAAAGCTTAGGACATCCACGACAGTCAGACATTCTGCAGGATACAGAAGAAAGTGACAGACAAACTGCCAATAGAGCTGAAACAGTCTTCCAAATTTCCTGCTTCATGGAAAAGTCTGCTGGATACTATGAGCCTGTAGGCTGAAGATGGATGCCCCAACATTACAGAAGAACTTTGGGTGACTGTCCAGGCAGCAAGATGTCTCTGTCAATTCTAAAGTTTTGGAAGTTGCTTACAATATACTTCCTGTTAACTTAGGTAACATTATATTCTTCTGGAGTCTTTGATGGAGTTGGAAAATAAATAGTTATAACTAAAATTTTCCTTAGTTATGATAAAAAATAAAGTAGACATAAATATTTTAACTGTAATTCTTGCTTGATACCTGTTTTGTTATATGTAATTTTCTATGTTAAAGTTAAAACCTTCCTTTTTATTTAAACAGAAAAGGGGAGATAATGTGGGATTCCCCTCTGTATGCTATGAATATGCTTTATTACCATTGGTTATTAAAGAAGCTGTTTTGGCCAGTGGCTTAGTAGAGTAAAACCAGGTGGAAAATCTGAACAGAGATATAGAGAGAATATAGGCGGAGCCAGGGAGACACCATGCAGCTGCTGAAGGAGAAAAACACCAGCCGCCAGACAGAAACTGGTAGGCCACAGCCTCGTGGCGATATACAAAATAATAGAAATGAGTTAACTTAAGATGTAAGAGTTAGCTAGAAAAATGCCTAAGCTATTAGCCAAACAGTATTGTAATTAATATAGTTTCTATGTTATTATTGGGGTATGGGCAGCCAGGAAACGAACAAGCAGGCTCTACCTACAGAGGACGGGAATAAAAAACTAGCTGCCTTTCTACTTTAATAATGGTGATATTCTGTTTCTACCCACATAATACTCAGCTAAAATAAATACCTACTTAAGGGATATCCAGGGGCTAGGAGATGCGGCACAAGCCTTGGCAATCTGAGTTTGCTATCTGGGACCCACATAATAAACTGGATATGGTGGCATATACTCATAATTCCAGCACTCATTAGAGTGAAAGCTTTCTCTCTCTCTCTCTCTCTCTCTCTCTCTCTCTCTCTCTCTCTCTCTCACACACACACACACACACACACACACACACACACACACTAAAAATTTTCAAAGTTGCTGGGTGGTGGTGGCACACACCTTTAATCCCAGCACTTGTGAGGCAGAGGCAGGCGGATCTGTTTGAGGCCAGCCTAATCTACAGAGTGAGTTTTGGGATGATCAGGACTGTTTCACAGAGAAACCCTGTCTTGAAAAAACAAAGAAACAAAAATTTCAAAGTAACAAAAATTTTAAAATAATGAGAGCTTCAGGAGCCCTGATGAAAATGGGCAAAGCTGCCTCGGAGTTGAACCATCAGGAACAGAACTGGAGCCTGGTCAAATAATAAAGAATATTAGCTGGGCAAACAAAGAACACGACACCATCAAGTATATATTTAGTCACTTCCCAGAAACTATTTTTTCCCTATTTTACTTCAACTCTTAATTTAAAATCATGTAGATAATTTGCATCTGTCACCGAGAGTCAAACATTTTCTTCTTACAGAAAAGCAGGTGTTCTAAGGAATTAGTAAGTGCAAAAATAGCCGTCAGATTGATAAATGAAAGATGACGAAATGGCAGCTGCTTTATCTTATCCAGCAGCCCCAAACCTGTATTTCACTGATAGTCTCACCATTCTCTTTCCATAAAGTACCTATGGATCACCTCGTTCTTTAAGTCACAAATCAATGAAAGTCGATCAAGAGTTGTGCAACACCTGAGCACACAATATGCTGTGCTGTAGCCAGCAAAGCCTTGACGTTGAGATCCTCCTGCCTCAGCCACTGAGTAGTTGCACTTCAAGAACAAAAACAAAACAACTAACTTTTGAAAATACTTCAATGCCTTTGCAAAAGTAAAATAAAATGATCTAAAGAAGGATGGCATGGTGGAGTCTGAAACCTCCCTAGTCTACAGAGTGAATTCCAGGACAGTCAGGCTAATCAGAGAAACTCTGCTTCAAATAAATAAATAAATGACTAAATAAATAAATAAATAAATAAATATCCCCCCCCAAAAAAAAAACCAACAAAACAAATGGCCGGGGCACTGTGGTAGCCCATGTGTGACTCAGTTTCCGTCTGGAGTCAATTCTGACTTAAAAAGTCATTTGAGCTCAAGCTCGCCTGCTCTTCTTGCTCCAGTATCCTTGAGGGTTGTGAGAAAGTTTTGATTAAGCCCATGGAAAAAAAAAAAACATTTTGCCCATGAAAAAAAGAACACACTATCTAGCAGAAAGAATATTGCTGACACCAAACCTTAGGAACATCGAGATAGAAAGTTAAAACTGCTTGCAAGCAGCAGGCGCATGACAGACAGGAGTCTGCTTCCTCAAGGACAGGAATGACCTGTGGTTAGATATTGACTGTGCTGTGTTTTGTTCTGCTTTTGTATATAAGCAGGCTCTGAAACAAACTCTGGGTTGTGCAGCATAAACTGGCAGTCTCCTGAATCTACCCTGTGTTTCCTATCTGCATTTCTTTCAGTCTGAGATTTCCTTAATCCTCATGCCTCTACCCAAATATCCCCAGCTGACTTTGTTGGAGCAAGCTTCAACAGGGCAGTGATAGCACAACACCTTTAATCCCAGCACTCATGAGGCAGAGGCAGGCAAATCTCTGAGGCCAGCCTGCTCTAGAGAATGAGTTCCAGGAGGGCCAGGGTTACAGAGAAACCCTGTCTCGAAAAAAAAAAAAAAATCAAAAAAGAAAGCAAAAGAAGTCCTTTAAAGATGTGTTTGATGCTGTGAATACTGGAGAATATCTGAGAATTACTGACAGACAGACCTTTTCTCTCTCTCAACCCAAATTTATATATTTCCCTATCCATACATTAACTGACATGTAAACCAGACATTATGACTTACATCTGTAATACCAGAACTCAGAATGCTGAGACAAAAACTTTACCCTGGATTTAAAGCTAGTCTAGCCTATAAAGTACAATTCATAGCCAACCTAAGCTACAGAGTGACATCCTGTCTTTACAAGAAAAATTAAGTAAGTTAAAAGATAAATTGATTTTTATCAAACTTTGAAAAACAATATACATGGGCTGAATAGATGACATCATACATGATGGCTCACAGCATTCAGGAACTCCAATTCCAGAGGATCGGAAACCTTCTTTTGGCTTCTGTTGGGTATTGTATGTATAAGGTGCACACACATATAGCACCAAAACACGCAAAATAAAAATAAATCTTTAAATTTTCTATTTTACTTACTTTCTACAATAAACAGCAGCTAAACAAGAAAGAGCTTTAAAGTCTGATAAACCCAAGTTGGTCTGATGTTCATCATACCTAGATCTTAGATCCCTCTTATGCAAAAGCGAAAATAAATTTCTGTCTTGAGGAATTCTGAGCATTAAATTTAGTATCATATGTACAAGGCTCCCTGGCAGGAATTGTGTACTGTGCCTACAGTCTCCATATAAACAATACGGTTGGTCTCCTTGGATGACACTTCCTCTGAGCAAACAGATTGACACATCCTCAACAGTGTGCCTAAGTGATCAGCATTCTGAGCTCTGAGATGCTATCAGCTTCCACAGGATACGCATTTTAAATGTGTTGTCCTCAGGGTAGTCTCAGATATATCAGAAGCAGTTTGACCAGAATAATAGCAGATCCATGATTCAAGGTTTTATTTGTTTGATTTCATCTTACTATTCTTATAGATTTATTCTCTCTCTCTCTCTCTCTCTCTCTCTCTCTCTCTCTCTCTCTCTCTCTGTGTGTGTGTGTGTATGAAAGAGAGAGAGAGAGAGAGAGAGAGAGAGAGAGAGAGAGAGAGAGAGAGAGAGAGAATGTAAACAGGCATGTGTGTGTGTGTGCCCAAGGAGGCTAGAAGGGGTTACCTAATCCCTTGGAGCTGGAGCTACAGGCATGTGTAAGCTGTCCAATGTGGGTGCTGGGATGTGAAGTCTGGTCCTTATGAATGAGCAGTAAGTGCTATGCCATCTCTCCAGTATAGTTCCACCCAGTTTTTGAGTTAATTTGCAACTCTTTTCCCTTTCAGAGAGGATCTCTGGGATGGCTCATCTTCCTTGCCAATTTGACTTAATTTGGAATTACCTAGGAGACATAGTTCTGGGAATGTCTGTGAGGGTGTTTCCTGAGAGATATAAGGAAGACCCGCTGGATGTAAATGGGACTATCCCATAGCCAGGGTCCTGCACTGAATAACCTGGAGAAAGTCAGCTGAGCACCAGCATTCCCTGCTCTTTGCTTTCTAGTCTATCCAGATAGGAGTCCTAGCTAAATGTTCACAGTACCATGAACTCTGCCATGCCTTCTTCCATCATGATGGTATGTGTTGATAACAGCGAGAAAAGTAGCCAATGCACTAGCTTGGGATGTAGGCGTGCTGAGAGAACACATTCAAGACTACATAATAAGACTGGGTGCTAGGTTGCTACAGGATGGTTACAGAAGAGGAATTGGAAGATTTTATCTGGCATTAGCAGGAATAAGAAGAGTAGCTCTGTCACTCTCTAGCTCTACAACCTTGGACAATTTCTTAAAGTTTCCATACCTATGATTTGGAAATAAAACTTAAGACTGTTTTGAGGATTACATTAAAATGATGTATATTAGGCAGATGACAATATTTGGCACAAGCTCCTGCTTTGCCATTACAAATCTGTGATGGACAGGCCCCCTAGCCCCTCCTAGATGATCTGAGACAGTGACGATCCCTTCCAGGAAAGGGTGAGAATCAGACTTGGGCTTTTCCCAACAGTGCCTCAATGGGATTAATCTGGGAAACTCTGCACATCACGGTGTCCTTGTGAAAACTCATAACACACATTAGTATATTAAAAAGCTCAGAAAATTCTTACAGTAAAGGAACTTATTTGATTTCACTTAAATTTATTTGGTTCTTTGTTTTTCAAAATTACTGCTGCACTTTGCAATGTCATTCCATCTAGCAAAGCCTACCAAAATTTCTAGGGTGAAGGGGAGAGAGAGAGAGACAAAAGAATCTTCTATAATGTCTTATTCCTTTTAGGTTAAAAAAATAAACAATTTTAAAATTTATTTTATTTCGCAAAATGGAAAATGGCTCAACAGTTGAGAATGCTTGCTGCACATTCCTGAGGACTAGAGTTCAAACCTCAGCACCCATGCAATATAGCCCAGTATCCTTCCAATGCCTGTTACCCCAACTTCTGGGACCCACACCCTCTTCTGTCTTCCATGCTCAGACTCTAACATACAGTGTGCTATACACACACACACACACACACACACACACACACACACACAAAGTATTTGTTTAATATTTTCTGTTTTATGTGTAGGAGTGTTTTGCCTACATGTATGTATGTGCACCACATGCATGCCTGGTGTCTCCTGATGTCAGAAGAGGGTATTGGATCCCCAGCGCTCTTAAAAACTGATCCATTTTTCCACCATCCACTATAGGTATGGTTTAAAAACATACACACAATGATCATTCCCATTCTGGTCACACACGTGTGTTGTGTGTGGCATATTACGTGTATGGTATGTATATGTATACTCAGGTGTATACATCTTTGAATGTGTGTGGGGAGCTGAAGAGCTCTTGGGTATCCTGCTCTATCACTCTTTATCTTCTTACCCTGAGACACAACCCCTCACTGAACATGGAGACAGTCTGTCAGGCAGCAAGCCCAGCAGCCTCTCATCTCCTTCCCCATAGCACAGTGTCAGGCAAAGAAAGCCACACCCACCTGGCTTTTTACATGGGTTCTGGGGATTTGAACTCAGGTCCTCTTGTTTGCAAAGAAAGCATTCTTACCTACTAGGCCACCTCTCTAGTCCTCAAAGCACATTTATATTCAAAAGAAATTTTAAAGTCAGGGAGGAAGTACAAAAAGCTTAAGATGAGGGAAATAATCACTATCTTTCTGTTGGTTTTCTCAAATTTTTGTACAATGTATATTTTAAATAAGTTTTTTAGATTTATTTTACTTTAAGTGTATGAGTGTTTTGCCTGCATGTATGTATGCACATGTGCTTGTGGAGTCAGAAGAGGGTGTTGAATTCCCTGGAACTGAAGTTATAATGAACCACCATGTGAATGCTGGGAGCTCAACTCAGATTCTCTACAACAAGTGGTCTTAACCACTGAGCCATTTCTCCCACCCTTACCCCCCATATTTTTTAATGGCTAATTCACTCAAGTGCTTTAAAACAATCAAGCATGACTCCTCACACATACATTGAGAGGTCAAAGTTTACTGACAATCATTTTTATTGCACCACATAGTGAATTTGACAGCTGTAACGAGTCTGGGGCCCCTGTCTTATTCTGCATTAATTTTCCATTAGTTCTAGTTTCCCTCTGCTTTTGTTCTGTAGGTACAAACAAAAGTGAAAAGAAATAATAACAGTAATTCTCAAAGACACATGAAAGGCATGAGACCCCAAGGTACCCATAGACCAAACATTCTACAAATGAATATACTTGGATACAGAAAGAACAGGGTGGGGTTAAAAAAGTCTGAGTTTGAGCCCACCTGTGAGAACTAAGGAGCTGAGGAACCTACCTGCCTCAAAGCTGAATCTGTAAAACAAATTCATCATGTTCACTTAACTGTTTGTTAGGATGGATATATTTATAAGAAGATAGATAACAGTCAGTGAAAATTTATGTTTTCCGAATACAGAAGGAAAGTTACTTCTGAATTACCATGAGCATTCTAAACAGCATGAGCTCAAACTTCTACAACAATTTCTAAAATCTAGTCACGGGAGGCTGGAGAGATGGCTAGCTCTTACACTCACAACTCTTCCAGAGGACCCAGTCTGGTTCCCAGCACCTTCATAGAAGGCTCACAAGAGTTTCTAACTCCTATATGGAATACCACACACTCTCTTCTGGCTTTCATGGGTACCCACACACTTGTGACATACACAAACATATACTAATAAATAAGTAAACAAATAAAAACAAATATAGTATTTAACATTTTCTTCCACATAAAGTTAAGTAGAAAAGAAAATTGTCAAGTTCTTATATGGCCTACTTGTGGAAACATTGCTAAACAACAAAGGTACACACTTGACATATAATACCAGAAAATAAATAAGTGAAATCTTACATGTGCAATGTTGGAAAATGGATTTTGTTTAAGTTATAATTAATGGGGGAGTGTGTGTCACAGTACACATGTGGAAGTCAGAAGACAAAGCTGTGGAGCTAGTGCTCTTCTTCTATCAGTACATCAGTTCCAGAATCAAGCTCAGGCTGCCAGGCTTCACAGCATCTTTAGCTGCTGAGCCATGTCACTACCCCAGAACAAATACATATGTTCACTGAATATTCTGATTCTACCATTGGGCCCTTAAAAGACATGATGAAGAATAACACACATGCTCAAAATGTAAATATTGACTAATAATTCCTTACAATAAAAATATGTTCTTCTTATATAACCAAAACCCTGTTAATTAGAGGCCAAAAAATGAATTAGAAATTGTTTAAATAAAGCAAATTTATGCTATAAAGTGTTGTAAGTTATACTTAAACTCAAATTATTGAGTCATGTATCCTACCAACTCATGCTATAAAATTGATTTCAAATCATAACAAGTCAAATTTTATAAAAGCAAAATGATAAAGCAAAATCAACTTACTTGGTCTGCCAATCCTCCAGGAACAATAGTCCTCACAACCACACCACTTGACTTTCCTCCAACTATCCCAAAACCTAGTCCAGAGCCATCATTAATGAGCTCAACCTCTTCAGTATGGCCCCAAAACACCTATACATGAATGGAAGGTTAGAGTCAATGTTGGTTACTCACAGATTCTTAGGTTTCCTGTATGATAATATATAACAGATTTGCAAGAAGCTGAAAATTCATACAATTAATAGAGACAACTACCTATAGAGACAAAGATATCCATATATTGGTAGAGGTATCTATCGATTGATAGAGGATAGATGATAGAGGGTAGACTATTATTAGAGCAAGGTAGAGTCTCACCCATAGGGTATTATAATTCAATAGAGAAAATAAGCATAAATAATTGAAATACAGATCATACAACACTACAACTCAAAAAGGACAAGAAACATTTCCCAATCTGTGCCCATAACCTAGCACAGCGTACATAGAGAACCAATGAATATGCATTTGCGGAAAGATAGGCACAATGTTACAAAGATTTCAGGGAGCTGGGGGAAAGGAAGGTTCATAAAAGGAAATATGCATGAAGAATCATGAAAAAGTTTAATGATAGCAGAAATTTAAATTTTACTACAAGTACTAGAGGCACACACCTATAATCCCCGTAATCAGGAGGTAGATGCAGGAAGATCAGGAATTCACAGCCAGCCTCTGCTACATAATGAGTTCAAGGAAAATGTAGACTACACAAGACCAAGCTCATAAAAAATGTAATACAAAGAAAGCAAGCATTCAACAAGAGGGAAATACAAGAGCAAAGCCAAGTCAGGAAACAGAATGAGGCAAAGACTGGAAAGAATAACAAAACTAAAGAAAGCAATGACTTAGGAAAATTAATCTGTCAACATTGTGAAGAACCAAAGTTTAATATGACTAAAAAGTGTAGGGAGGAGAGTAATGTTCTGAGTGAATATGTAGTGTTTGACATGGCCATGGCCACACCAAGGACCCACGTTTCAGGCTCATGGGAGTGGCAAAGCCCTACCAGGCTCAGAGAAATAGTGAAGTCTTCCTCTGGTCCACATGCAGATAGGTGGTTGAACATGTGTATCATCGCTTTCCCTGAAGCTCCTCTACAGAGACTGCTCCCACAAACTAGCTAAGCCTTTCTCCTGCTCAGCTGCATGCAATAGCCCCACCTCCCTGTTCAACTGTACAAAGTAACCATGTTGAGCTTCCAGGGTGCTGCAGCTTCTCCATCAGAGAGTCCAGCCCACCCAATCCCAGCTGTTTGTGTACATGTGTCTATGAGTCAGTCCTTTCTGCATTTCCTCACTGCCTCCTAGGCAGGGTTCCCAAACCCATGCAAGGATGTGGCAAACAAACTAATTTAGAACACTCATGAGAGAAGACAGAGTTTCTCCAAACTCGAAATACTAGCAACATAAACATGCAAAAAGGCATAAGCAATTTTCCTTGATCAGATTCCCATGACAAATGCACATACTTTCATAAATTTCAACTGCAGAAGTCATTTTCATACTTAATTTTTCTATTCTACATTATCAAGTCATTCTTGGTTTTTTGTTTTGGTTTGGTTTTCGAGACAGGGTTTCTCTGTGTAGCCCTGGCTGTACTGAAAGTCACTCTGTAGACCAGGCTGGCCTTGAAATCACAGAGATCCACACACCTCTGCCTCAGAGTGCTGGGATTAAAGAAAAGAGCCACCACTGCCCAGCCAATTTTTATGCTTTTAGAATTTATAAAATGTAACAAGCTTAAAAGATAAAAGAGGCATTGATTTTTTTTTTCAAGTCAAGAAACAACTAAAAACAGAAAGATGGGGCTGCACAGGTAAAGGTGCCTGCTTACCAGCCTGACAACCTGAGTTCAACTTCCCAGACCCACATGGTAGAAGGAAAGAACCAACTCCCACTAGTTGCTCTCTCTCCTTTATAAGCACACTGTGACATGTTTGTCCCTGCTCACACACACAGATCCACCTATCTCTGCCTCCTGAGTGCTGGGACAACAGGTATGTGTGCCACCATCCCTGGCTCAAAATTGAATTATTTAAAAGTGACATCTGTTTTTTTTTTAAACTTACATGAAAAAAATGACTGCAATGATTTTGTAAAATCAATAATCTAGTCATAAACTTCCACTATAATTCATAAATATAAGATTTTTGCTTTTTTTTTTTTTCTTCCAAGAAAGGGTTTCTTTGTAGCTTTGGAGCCTGTCCTAGAACTTTGCTCTGTAGACCAGGCTGGCCTCGAACTCACAGAGATTCGCCTACCTCTGCCTCTGAGTGTTGGGATTAAAAGCATGTACCACCACCACCCAGCTATAAATATAAGATTTTAAAAATAACCACATCTTCCTTAAGATAATCAATAGTAAGCTTCTAATAAAACCTCTGAAACTCAAAGGTATAGTGGCAGACACCCATATTCCTAGCATTCAGGAGGTTGAACCAAGGGAATTGTGAGTTCAAGGCCAGTCTGGGCTACATAGCACATTTCCCCCTCCTCCTACACACACATTAACTTACTATAACATCAAAGAACACATGACATCTTACCACTAAATAAGTTAAAAATAATATTTGATTTGGCCTCTATATAATAATCTCCAGTAAGGAAACTAACCATTAAATAGACAAAAAAAAAAAAATCAGACATTAAAAAGACAAAAACAAAACAAATTCCTCCAATAAACATTTTGTAATGTTGTCATTTAGATATATGATCACCTTTCTGGACCTAGAATAATGGAAAGGACTTCAATGACTACCAACTACTATTATAGTGAATAACATAATTTAGAATGTTGTTCCCAAGCTTATGACCCACCATTTCAGGCAGAGATGTATCAGCTGAGCTGGTGGAAGTGCGGTCCTGTGTGTGGCCCACTTCCCTGGCCACAACCAGACGCAGAGTCCCAGTGGTTTGTTGTAGTAATGCAATCGCCTGCTGATGGGAAACATTATGATCCAATGGGGTGTCATTAATGGCCAAAATCTGGTCATTTTCCTTCAATCTTTGATCCCTAATCATACAAGAAAAGAAGAATGTGTTAAGTACTGTGACAGCCTGAACACGCAAACGGAGCTGGCTCTGGCATCCTTCTATGAATCAGAGGGTCCACTGCACTTATGTTTCTCTTACACATCCTAACTCATGTTAACACTGCCCTTTCACATGAGACTCTAAAGCTTGAAAAATTACGTCACTTGAGCAAGACTGCACAGCTGGAGAGAAAAAGCTACATCCAGCCTCAAACTACAAGAATCTTTTGACTAATGAGTCTGTAAGAATAGACTCCGCCCCAGATAATCTGTCTCAGAGGTGCTGATATTACTTTTATTGCATGTATTCAATTTCAGTTTCACATAAGGGAAACATTTTGGGTAACAAGATGTCAACAGGATATTTAGAAAGGTTTTTGCTATGGTTTCAATGTCCGTGCCTCTAAACACCTGTGGAAATTTTAATTTCTATTGTAAAGTATTAAGATGTAAGACTTCTAAGAGAAGATGAGGTTGTAAGGACTATCCACTCATGGATAAGATTGGTGTCTTCACAAAAGGCAAGTTTAACTCCTTGTTGTCCTGCTTCACCTTGCCTTCCACCATGTGATGAAACAGCAAGAAGCCCAAGTCAGTTGTAAATGCCTTGGCATACTCTTCTTAGCTTCCAGAGCTATGAGCCAATAAACCTCTGTTTGTTGTAAGTTTTAAAACTTCAGGCATAAAAAAAAAAAAAAAACCTTCAGGCATTCTGTTATAGGAAAATGGACTAAGACTGAGCCTCAAAATCAGCTTTTAAAGGAACTGAGAAGTAAATGTTGAAGCTAAAGACGTGTGTACACTGCCAGAGGCTCACTGACTACACAGCAGAAGGTCAGGCTTCAAGGAAGACTGACTCTCACATCATAGATAAGAGCATCCTGTATCAGAACATCCAATACACAGTCAGGAAGGATAACCCATTATTATACCAGCACTTCCCAGGATGTTCCAGAACTTTATAGATAGATGCTCTTCTTAAAAAGCAAGTTGTTAACAGAAGATGAAAGGAGGAAGAAGCTGGGAGTGGCCGTAAACATATATAACAAGTGGGAGCTCTTTTTCTAGTAGATGAAGTTTCAAGAATTTTTACTATTTCTAGAATAATGGAAATGACAGTAACACACTGAGTATATTAAACATCCCTTCAAAATGGTATAAGATTTATACTATTTGGATTATAAGCCAATGGATCTATTATCTAGAATAATGGGAATGACAGAAACACAGAGTGTATTAAACATCCCTTCAAAATGGAAAATTTATACTATTTGGATTATAACCCAGTGGATCTGTCATTTTAAATTTTGAGTTAAAGAGACTAGAAGTAGGGGGCTGGAGAGATGGCTCAGTGGTTAAGAGCATTGCCTGCTCTTCCAAAGGTCCTGAGTTCAATTCCCGGCAACCACATGGTGGCTCACAACCATCTGGAATGAGGTCTGGTGCCCTCTTCTGGCCTGCAGACATACACACAGACAGAATATTGTATACATAATAAATAAATAAATATTTAAAAAAAAAGAGACTAGAAGTAATCATCTATAAAGACAGAATAAATGTGAAAAAATATTGACAGAATTTTGTAATCATATTCTGCTACTACTGCTACCTGAATAGTTATCTAGACTAGAAATCAAAGACACAAAAACTTTGTGTGGAACCCTTCAAACACAACAGCAGGTTTATGTGGAGACAGTGGGGTTAAAGAACCCCTAGAGAGCTAACCAGCACTGGGTGCTACTGCTACTGTTTTTACTGCTAGTTTCTTATTCTCTTTATAGTAACATTTCCAGAGCTGTCAGGAAAACATGGACCAAGTACAAAATGAACTTCCTCACCTGTCTGCTACACTCCCTGGATGAACCTCCTTCACAAAGATTTCAATTAATCCCAGACTTTGGCTTCTCAGGGCCACCACACTGAATCCAAGGCCTCCAGTTGAAGGGCGTTCTATATCTATATATTCAACATGCCGACCCTAACGAAGGGGGGAAAATCAGAAAGGAAAAAGAACCATGATGTGCATCCAAACGTCACCTTTCCACAGAACCGAACTGCACAACACACAGCCGCTTCTCCTATGTTGTCACTATCAGTCTGAATATGCTCAGTGTTCTGGTGATATGCTGGCTCTGGAAACCTTTTAACTTGACTGTTTTTAGCAAAGCACAGAGTACAGCACTGAGAAGCATTTTACAATTCATCCACATTATGAGATAGATTCTGCGCTGGACAAAAACTGAAAACAAACACCCTTTCCCATAGTAAATTCTCAATTACTTTGTGCATAAATTTCTTTAAATTCCCCTTGATGCAAAACACATTTTTAGAAAAGAAGGCAAATCAGATATGCCAGAAGCATGTTAGTGTTCAGTCCAGTCAGAACCAGCTGCATTTATATCATTCTGTTTTACATCCACAGTAATGAATTAATGAATCCATTCACTTGATCATTTCAAAAGGCTGCAGAGTCCCAGGACTGCAGAGTATGTCACCATTTTGGTTAACAACTACATGTACAGTGTGAGAGCATCATAAAAACAATCACATCACAAGGGCCTCATGCAGAACAGATGGAGCTTAAAGTCATGAAGAACTAGGATATTTTCCACTACTGTGACTTGAAACAATTTCCTTTTCATTCCCAAACCCAAACTTATTTATTTATTTACTTACTTACATACTTACTGACTTATTTTCCTCTCTTTTGGTTTTCTGATACAGAGTTCTTTGTGCAGTCCCAGCGGTTCTGAACTCACTCTGTAGACCAGGCCGGCCTCAAACTCACTGAGATCCTCCTACCTCTGCCCCCAAAGTGCTAGAATTAAAGGGTGTGTGCCTCCAAACCCAGCTTCTTATTTTTAAGATTGACTTTATTTTGAATTATGTGTATAGGTATCAATCTGTGCACAAGTATGTGCACATGAACCGCCTCCGCCTGTGAGGCCAGAAAAGGGCTGGATCCCTGGAGCTGGAGTTATAATAGGCATTTGTGAGCCACCCAACGTGAGTGTCAGCAACCAATCTCAATTCTTCAACAAGAATTCTAAATTTTCTTTAAAAAGTCAAAAACTTCAGTTGTCTATTATTTACTTCTTGGTAGGTATTAGGGGCTACAGTTAAACTATCCATTCTAATATTTCCCTAGATCTTCCAAATTATATTCATTGTAATTCACAAATTCCATTTTGATATAAAAGTATAACAGAAATTTTCTTATAGTGTTCTGTTTTGTTTTCTTTTTCTTATCATTTCAGACAGGGCATCTGTCTATGCAGCTCAAGCTGGCCTCAAACTGGAGGTCCCCTGCCTCAGTCTGCAGAATGCTGCTGGGCTGCAGGCTGCTGCGAGTATATCCTACTGTCCTGTAATTTAATGGCGAGTTCCTGGTTAGGAATAAACACAATTCCTCCTACCAGTATAAGCAAACAAAATACATAGTAATTTTAAGACAAAAAGAATAATTCTCCTTTAAAAAGTGAAACAGAAGAAAAACTAATGAAGCTAAATACTCAGTGACATGACATAACCTTACCTGAGCCATCTGCTGAATGACTGAGTTAAAGTCTTCATTTCCTGACTTTGGGTTCCAAGGCAACAATCCAGATGCAGTTAAATTACTACAAGATCTGTGGGCATTCCCATTTGTAATGGAACCATCCGTGAACACTAACAAACCCTTCCGAGAAAATTCAAAGTTGGCTGAACAATCCGAAGGAATATGGTTAAGCTATTGGAAAGATAAGAAAATAATCAACAGAAGTCTATAGAAAAGAAACAATCTCTATCTATTGCATTATATGTATAATTTATATACATATTAAAGAAGTAAAGGGCCAGCATGGTGGCACATGACTTTAAGCCCAGTATTCGGACACAGAGGCAGGAAGACCTCTATGAGTAAAAGGTCAACCTGCTCTCTATATTTAGCAAGCCAACCAGAGCTACAAAGTGAAGGAAGGGAGAGAGGCAGGCAGGCAGGGAGAGAGGGAAAAAAGTGAGACGTAGATTGTAGGGGTGTATGTGTGTGAGTGCAGTGTGTGTGTGGGTGACAGAGAGAGAGAGAGAGAGAGAGAGAGANAGAGAGAGAGAGAGAGAGAGAGAGAGAGAGAGAGAGAGAGAGAGAGAGAATAAAAAACACTGGCTGATATAAGTGCCAACACAGTAAACTAAAACAACATTAACAAGGAGGATAGAGAGATGGCTCAGTAGTTAAGAGCAGTTGCTGCTCTTCCAAAAGATCTGGGTTCAGTTCATAGCACACACTGTGGCTCACAACCGTGTGTGTGTGTGTGTGTGTGTGTGTGTGTGTGTGTGTGTGTGTGTTGAGAGATGGCTCAGTAGTTATACTACTCTTCCAAGTACAATAGCATCCATATCAGCAGTGCACAGCCACCTGTACTCCAGCTCCAATGAATCTGACACCTCTGCCACCCTACACACACTTACATGCACATAACTAAAATAATGGAGGTTTTTTTGTTTTGTTTTGTTCTACTGAGACAAGGTTTCTTTGTGTAGCCCTGGCTGTCCTGGAACTAGTTCTGTAGACCAGGCTATTTTAAACTCAAAGAGATCCATCTGCTTCTACCTCCCATGTGCTAGGATTAAAAGTGTGCACCACCACCGCCCAACAAAATAAATTCCTAATTAGAGAAAACAAATAAAGTACCTATAAGCAAATCAGTATGTTCTTAAGGAAAAAGCTTTTTAATATTATAAAAGATATTTATTTTTAAAATTTATTCTTGACACACCTATGTAAGATACTGGGCCCTTTTGTATTTATCTATATATCTCCATGGAGGAGCCACAAAAGAACCAAAGCAAGCAAACAATAATACTCACAGCAACAGTATTTAATCATTGTTTCTAAGAGCCAGGCACTAGACAAGATTCCTACATGGATATCATATTATCTCACTGAATCTTTTGTAATAGCCCAACTGATGTCATTCATTATCCCACTTGGTGAATATGAAAATTGAGGCACTCAACATCCTTGTATAATATTAATGGCAAGTGAATCACAAGGCCACTTAAACACTCTAAAAAAAGAGCACCCTATCATTACAAGAAGTAACTTTTATAAAACACTGGCTAATACAAGTGCCCACACAGTAGAATAAAAACGTTAATAACAAATGTTAAAGAGGGATGGAGAGATGGCTCAGTAGTTAAGAACACTTGCTGCTCTTCCAAAAGATCTGGGTTCAATTCCCAGCACACACATGGTGGCTCACAACCATCTCTAACTCTAGTCTAGGGAATCCAACACCCTATTCTAACCTCTGCAGGTACCAGGCACACACAAGGTGATGCAACTATAAAATATAAGCAAAACATCCATAGACTTAAAAAATAATAATAAATGTGAAGATAGTTTCTTATATGTATGACAAAGAGCTGCATACATGGAATCCTTACAATATGATGACCTAAACAAGACCTACATAAAGATAATGCCAGCTGATGTACCAACATGGATAGGGAGAGTCTTAAAAAGTCCCACCCTCGATGAGTAGCAGGTAAAAGAGAGAGCCAGTCTTCTTCAGGGACAGAACCCTGATAGATTAAAAAATGGTCATCCCTCAACATATATACATATGAGCAACACTAAATGGTACCAGTGGACTGTATCATATATACATATATGTATGAATATGAATAATTAAAGGAGAAGAGGTAAAGAAGTTTAGTGGGAGTAGGAGGAGAACACGAGAGAGGTTGTAAGGGTGAGAGTATAAGGTAAAAATGTTATAAATGGGGGTCTGGCACAGTGGGACAAGCCTTTTAATCCCAGCACTTTGCAAGTGGGTCTATGTGAGTTCCAGGACAGCCAGGACTATACAGTAAGACCCTGTCTCAAATAGATAAACAATAAAATTAACATTTTCAAAAAGAATAAATGTCAAACACAAACAAGATCAAGCTAAGAAGATCAATCAGTACCCCAACAGGCAATATTAATAGAACCCAGTGAGTTTAAAAAAAGAAAGAAAGAAAGAAAGAAAGAAAGAAAGAAAGAAAGAAAGAAAGAAAGAAAGAAAATGATGAAGCAGAAAAAAGGACATAATAGAGGTACCTGGAGAGAATTTGTTAGAAGCTAGGGGAAATATGTTCAAGATACACTGTTTACTTGCATGAAATTGACAATCTATTATTAAATAAACAGCAAGGGCCAGGAGAGGACTCTGAGTAAACGTGCTTCCTACGCCATGCTGATGTCCTGAGCTCAGATTCCTGAAACCCACGCACAATACTTCAGATTGTACTCAGGCCTCCACATGCACCTTCCACACAAACATGCACATACATCATACGCACAAGAAAATCAATCAATACACTTGTTTATTAAAAAGAGAAAGAGAAGACAGAGAGAGTAGACAAGAGGGCTCAGAAGATAAAGGCACTTGCTGCCAAGCCTGATGACCAGAGCTGGATCTCTGGGACCCTCATTGTATAAGGAGGGAATCAACTGACACAGTTGTCCTCTGACTGCCACACATGCCCATATACATACTACATACATACATGCACACACACACAAAATAAACAAAATGTAATGAAAAAAGTAATTAAACAGATAATAAATGTCAAGAGCTGAGAATGGGGTGTAGTGGTAGGGTTCCAGCAGACACAAGGCCCTGGGATCAGTCTCAACACCATATAACAAAGAAATAAAATTGGAAGCTATTTTATAATTTTGAAGAAAATGTTAAGATCCTAAAGCACTTGATCATTAATGATTTATCACACTCCAAAGCCCAACATGAACTTCATCCACACTTATACCATCCACCAAGGCTGCCCACAGCTTGCAGGGCCCCATGCACAGTTGCTAACCTAAGAGTGACGATCCTCCTATACTCCTCCACTGATCTGGAGCCACCAAGGTAAGGCCAAGGAACCACTCACTTGTCCCTTGAGCTGCTTGATGGACTGCTGGAGAGTGAGGATCTGGTTGAAGAGAGGGCTCTTCAGCGTCTCATAAAACACGGACAGCTTCTCGTTCTGTGTCGTGTCTCCCTTCTCCTGTAGTCTCAGTCTCAGGCGGTCAAGGACCTGCAGCACCTGCATTTTCTCTTGGTTAGAGAAAGGCGATCAGAGCTCATGTTAGACACCATCTCACCATCCACTTCTAAATGAAGTAATTGAACAATAAAAAGTTATAGCTTCTATACCTGCTGCAGGATTTTCAGGCATTTTGGATTATCCCTTTCAATCACTTTCAAAAAGCCTATAGGAAAAAAATTAACCTTAATTATAGAAGTATGTCTGTAGTCCTACAGAGGAAAATAAAACAAACTTCAAGAACACTCTTTGTCAAAACTGTTCTTAGTGAAATTCAAATTAAGACCACATAAAGGCATCAATCCATGTCCACTCAGATGGGGAAAATCTAAAAAGACCAGCGTGAGTGCTGGCAAGGCTGCAAAGCAGCTACAGCTATCACATGCTGTTAGTAGGGAAATAAAATGGCACACCACTTTGGGAAATTATTTGGTACTTTATTTTTATTAATTTTTTTATAGTTTAAATCATAAGTAGTTTCTTATAAAGTCAAAATTTATAATGCACTAATTATATAATCTACCCCTTCTGCTCATATTTACCCAAGAGAAATGAAAATATGACCTGTACGTGAAAGTATATAGTATGATTTGTAAAAGGTCCCAACCAGAAATACTGAGATGCCCAGTCATACTAGTGGATAAACAAATAAATGTTACATAAATATAATATTCAGGGAAAAAAGTTTCTGACACATACAATAAGGGTGAATCCAAAAAGTAGAGTACTGGGGTTTGGGGTAGGGATGTGGTGCAGGTGGTAGAGTTCTTAACCAGTATGCAGGAAGCCCCAGGTTCCACCCCCAGCACCACATAACTGTAATCCCAACACCTGGAAGGAGGACCAGGTGTTCAAGGCTGGAATGGGCTACAAGAGATGATGTGTCAACAACAAAACCAATAAGGCTGTCATCAGCATTGGTAGGGATCCAGGCAGTCTATGCAAATGTTCCCCATGTGAAAATTCCCCAAAAACCTGAGATCAGAGCATCTCAGAAACACTCCTCATGTACTCAGCACCACAACTGCACAATCCTCACAACAATCGAACAGGCAGCTATGAGGACAGCCAGGATGGCACTGTTCTTTTTATATGAGCACAGCGCCCAAAACCAGTCTGAAGGCCATTAATCAATCAATATTGATAAAGCAAAGAATGCAAGCTCAAAACTGTAAGATGCCATTGTTATAGTTGAATGTCTAGTATAGTATGAATGACTGGATCATTAAAAGAACAGCAAGAGTCTGCCCCCAGACGTCTCTGAAAAGCAGGCAGGAGGACAGACTGCACAACCTTTTAGGAGGACAATTTAGTGCCTACAAATGGAGAGGTATAAATTTAATGTAATTCTCTTTTACCAGGATTTCAATTTCTGGCTGGCTCGCGCGCTCTCTCTCTCTCTCCAATGATGTACACACAGGAGTAGTTTTTACATTCTTTTTACATAGAAAAACTCCTGCAAAAGTCAATTATCACCAGTCACTAAAATGACAGAGTAAGCCTGAGTATGCTCGAGTTCAGGAAGAAAGGTCACAGCATGTGGCTCTCTCCTTCCCAGCCTGCCTCACAAATACGCTTTAACAGAGACCTTTATTCCAAAATGTCAGGTACACAGTCCAAAAATCCATGGATTCCTGAGGCATGGCTAGCTGGGAAACAGGAAACAGAGACATTTTTAGTTTGTATAAGTAAAGAAAGGCTTATGGAAATAAAGGCTTTCAAGACAGAAAAGGTCTCCTTAAATTCCATCCAGGCCAACAAGACCCAATCTGAAAGTAAATACATACAAATAAAATAATCATGTAAAAACAAATTTTAAAAAAGAAAGGCTTCCTTTAGAAAACTATTTCTGTATAGTCCTCAGAATTTTCTGGATTTTTTAATGATGTATTTTCACTTTTTATGTGTGTTGGTGTTTTGTCTGCATATATGCCTCTATGAGGGTTCAGATCCCCTAAAACTGAAGGTACAGACAGTTGTGAACTGTCATGTAGGTGCTGGGAATTGAACTCAGGTCTTCTAGAAGAACATCCAAGTACTCTTAACCCCTGAGACATCTCTCCAGGCCCAATTTTTTTGTGTGTGAATGGATTTGTTTTTGATTTAGTACATCACTTTAAAAAAAAAAAGTGTCTCCAAGAGATTGAAAACAAATATACACAAAGAAATGATTAGGTCAGTCACAATCATCACTGCTGTGGGACAAAGGTCTTTTATCCTGTCACTTGTATTATTTTTAATAAAATGTTGATTGGCCAGTAGCCAGGCAGGAAGTATAGGCGGGGCAATGACGACCATGCAAAAAGTAGAGGCGTGGCAACGAGAATTATGGGAAGAGGGAAGTTTCAGTCTGCAGTCGTCATCCAGACACATAGATGTGACTGCCTCGCCAAAAAAGGTACCAAGCCACATGGCTAAAACAGACAAGAATTATGGGCTAATATAATTTATAAGAGTTAATAAGAAACCTGAGCTAATAGGCCAATCAGTTTATGATTAATGTAGATCTCTGTGTGATTTCTTTGGGACTGAACAACTGCAGGGCTGGGTGGGACAGAAATCTCAGTCAACACATCACCATCAGCCAAATCCTCCCTGCCACCAGAGCATCGAAGATCAGAATCTTACACACACTAGGAGAGCACTGTGCAGTCAACCTACATGCCCAGCCCCATCGTACTTCCTTAAAAGCCGTAATTATGTACCAACAGGTCATATTTGGTTAGAATGTGATTAAACTATCTCATTCTATGGGCTGGAGAGATGGCTCAGCCGTTAAGAGCATTGCCTGCTCTTCCAAAGGTCCTGAGTTCAATTCCCAGCAACCACATGGTGGCTCACGACCATCTGAAATGAGATCTGATGTCCTCTTCTGGCCTGCAGGCAGACACACAAGACAGAATATTGTATACATAATAAATAAATAAATATTTATTAAAAAAAAAAAAACTATCTCATTCTACAGGGCATGTGGTGTGATTCTGACCACAATGAACTAGTAAGAGGATTTGAGAGATTTGTGATTTTACATGATGTCTATAGTGATATTTTGTTTGTGATCTAACAAATAAAACTTGCCTGAAGATCAGAGTGTGCAGCTAAGCCACTAGTTAGCCATAGAGGCCAGGCAGTGGTAGCACACACCTTTAATCCCAGCTCTTAGAGTCGGGTGGATCTCTGTGAGTTCAAGGCCACCATGGGCTACTTTTGCCTAAACAAGAAACAGAGCTCACACAAAGGTGATCCCAGCACCTGAGGTCACACGCCTTTAATCTCAGCACTAGGGAGGTAGAGACAGGAGTGAAATGGCTGGGTGTTGAGAGGAATATAAGGTGAAGACAGGAGCTCAGATGCAGTTTGAGGATTCAGTCTGAGGATGATGTCTGAGGATTCGTGGAGTCAGGATCGCCCTTTTGGTCTGAGCATTGATAGAGGTAAGAACACTCTAGTGGCAGGTCACTCTGCTTCTCTGATCTTCAGTATTAACGCCTATATCTTACTTTGGGTTTTTATTATTAAAAACAATTAAAATTCATGTTACAGATGTCCGTAATGGCCAGCAAGTATTTATTCTTTCCTGTTCAAGAGAACATATTACTGGCATCAAAACCATCTCCTTACCAACAAACCACTTGCTATTCAAAATAGCAATGTCTGAGACTGAATTTTACTTCAGTGGGCAAATTAAGAATTTCAGTAAGAGGCTACAAAATGCACTTAGAGCTGATTTCCTATGGACTCATCAAATAAAGGACTTGAAACATGGTGGCTGTGTGCTGTCAAATCCAGGAAAGTAAGATTCCTGGGAGTTTTACCTACTGGCTGGGGTTCCTCCGTGGCTATCTGTGTCTGACTTCTGCTATACGGTTGGAATTGAGTTAGATCTCAAATTCACATGAGACCTGAGCATGCTGGAAAACTCACCCTTTGTATAAAACAGGAAAGCTGTACAACATGCCCAAGTGATGGGGAAAGCAGCATGTAGCAGGATGTTTGTGTTATTTCCACACAAAGACAAAAAGTGTGCATTGGGAAATTTCCTAGAAAAACATTTAGGAAGTAATAGTGATTGTTTCCAGAAAACAGAAAAGAGGAATTTAAAAGCTAGCCTTTGGAGGATGAGGTTATAACTCAGTGGAGAACATATGGTCAACATGCATGAGGATTCAATCCCAACATCACAGAAAAATAATAAAATGAAAATTAGCCTAAAACTTTATAGATTCAGGGTGGATTGAATTTTTATTCAAAAACTATGGATTAAGAATGTAGTTCAGGGGGCTGGAGAGATGGCTCAGAGGTTGAGAGCACTGACTGCTCTTCTGGAGGTCCTGGGTTCGATTCCCAGCAACCACATGGTAGCTCACAGCCATCTGTAATGGGATCTGGTGCCCTCTTCTGGCATACACACAGACAGGATATTGTATACATAATAAATAAATAAATAAATAAATAAATAAATAAATAGCAACGCGTATGCCTATAACCCCAGGTCACGGGAGACTGAGGGAAAAAGATCTTGAGTTTGAGGTCAGTCTAGGCATAAAACAGATCTAACCTCAACAAGTAAGTAAAGATATGTAAATAATAAAGTAAAAGTAACAAAAAGATAATGACTAGGGGGGTCTAACAAGAACAAGATATACAGCAAGATAGCAACAACGAAATGGGATCGATAGAGTGGAAATTCTGATTGGTCTTAATAATAAAAAATAATAAAATAATAAAAACTTGGTGTCAGATATAGGGGTTAATGCTGAAAGATCAGAGAAGCAGAGCTGCCAGCCACTAGTTCTTACCTTTACTGAATCCTCAGACCCAAAGGGCAATCCTGTCCCTATGAATCCCTCAGACCGAATGGGATATCCTGTCTCTACAAGTCCTTAGACTGAATGCCTTCTCTAAGAAACCACAGATTGAATTCTAAGCTCCTGTCTCCTCCCGCCTTATACAACTCCCTCCAGCCATATCACCTCTCGTCTCCATCTCCCGAGCGCTGGGATTCAAGGTGTATGCCACCACTGCCTGGCCCCTAACTAGTGTGGCTAGGTCCGCACTCTGATCTTCAGGCAAGTTTTATTTGTTAAATCACAAACAAAATATCACCACAGGATCATCACACTGCAAGGCACACAGTAGTAGTACCTTGTGCTAAGAGAAAGCAGA